GCCAGCCCCCGCCTCCACAGCCGCCCCGCGCCAGCTGGAGGTGCGATCCCTCTGCCGGCGGGCACCCCTTCTTAACGCTGGGGCCCGAGCACCCTCAGGTTCCCCTGGAGGGTGGGAGAACAACCATGCAAACAGTGGGCCGGGAGCCAGGGACCTGTGAAAAAACTGTCAAAGTGGAGAGTTTGGAAAGTGAGGGCAAAAAAGTTTTGGCGAATACCCAAGTGTAGGAGGGCGAGGCAGGAGCAGCACTGCCAGTTATGTCACATAGGTGAGCCATCCTACACATACTGAGCAAGCATTATAATACCCAGAACCACTGCCTGCCTTCCAAGTCAGTGGGTCCTTGCCACAGTGTGCGTGCATGTGTGTGTGTGTACATGTAAATGCATAAGAATTGCAAAGGGGCTCTTCCCGAACTTGTATTTGCTGCATACGGAGTTAAGGCAGGTTGGTTTACTGATAGAATTTCATTTTTCACACAAGCTAAGGGCTGTAGTTTACACCAGACTTTCTGCCTCCAACCACTGTTCATCTCCCATTTCTTAAACACCCATACATTTGTGTATTTATTGTAGCTTGCCTAAAGCACAATGTTGAAGTTTATTAAAAAGGTGCTACCTCTGATGACCAAAATTTTAGTCCCAGATGTTTAAATATAGGCCCAAGCCAGTAGTTGCCTGACTGTTCTTTGGCAGGAACTCGAATAATCAAGTCCAAATCACCTTTAGCTTTTTAAGGCAACATAGTTATATCTTAATTACTGCATTTTTTTTTTACTCAAATGGGACAGGACCTGGATATACAGGATGTTATATAGTTACTTATGAACATTTAAGATGCTACAGAAATGATTTATTGATGGAAAACACTTCAGGGGTAAATGTCAAATAGATTTAGAGGGTGGATTATTCCAACATGAACTAAAGTGATGATAATTTGTACATCACACTATTCGTTTGAAAGTGCTTTATTTGAAAATAAGAAAACTTATTTCAAAACATTCAATTCTGGCAGAGTATTAAGGCCTGTAAGCCAAAAACCAGCGCATTTGCAAGTGGCTTCCCTCAAAACATCTGGTATTAAAAACACCACTGCATCCCATGAAAATTATGCCGGGCAAGTGGGAAGATTTCACCTTTAATATATTAGCAGTAATAATGGGATTAAGAGCGAATGACCTAAATAAATTAATGTAATAGTTGTAAAAGGGACTTTTTAATAGTTTTTAAAAGGGACTTTGTAATAGTTTTTAAAAGGGCCTTAAATGACTATCACTACTCAATTAGGTACCTAGAACCTAATTGTAGTTGAAATATTTGAGAAACTTGAGTATTCTTGCCCTTTCCTCTTTTTTATATCTTTTAACTTGTCTTACAGGAATGTCTGTTTCTTACTTCTCTTAGAACACCTAGCATAGTTATTTGTCTGTATTCTAAATGTTTAAAATAAAAATAAAATGAGTTCAACCATTTGTAGACTGGAATATAGGAACTTCCTAAAAATAGAGGACAGTATTTTTCCAAGGATTATACTAATTATGGCTGCATTTAAAGTATTTTCATTGAACGACAATAACTTCAAAAATGTAAAATTATATAGAATGCAATGTCACATAAGCTTAATTCATATTACTGTAGTACATATGCAGCCAAAGCGAGGACAATTCATGTTAATATAAATGGAGAGTTACTTGATCTTTTCAACTTTGCAGACTTCACTATCATCAGCCTTTTTTTTTTTTTTTTTTTTTTTTT